AGAACTGTTTAATATTTCCCACCAATATGTATATATATATATATATATATATATATATATATATATATATATATTACTAATTGATTATTTTTGGCTGTCAAAAACGATATTTTTTTGCTAATAATTCAATTTTCAAATAACCTTTCGAAGACTTCTGGATGTATACAAATGAGCATACGGTATAAACTAGTTAGACTGTGATAAAGTAATTGCCTCATTATCATAAAACTGAATATTATCCAATACAATTTGCACTCCATAGTATTTAACTGCTTTATATATGATTAACAGTATATATTTTTGGTGAATGGTAAGAACGCCAATTATTATAGATTTGGGATACCTAATAGTTTAGCAGCGATATACAAGATACGACTTTTGTTGTCTTTAATATTTATTAGCTAGAAGTACTGAAAATAATAGTAGTGGGTTTTGAAAACGCATAAACAACTTAAAACCATATGTCAAAATAGTAACAGCCTTGATTCAATGAACGATGAAAAACTGTTGTAACCATAGAGTTCAGTGATAATTATTCTGGAATTTCAAATAAACCAGATAGAATTCAGGCTTTTGGGAAGTAACTAATTTTGACTAAGTTGTAAATATGTCTAGCAAGAAGATATTGAGTCAAATAAAACATTCACTTTTAAGCCTACTTTTAGTGAATACTAAATACAATCAAAAGAATAAGTTAATTTGAGCATAAAGCTTACTAATAATTGTCTTAAACTGTCACCGCTGATACATAAAAAAAGAACAGTGATCAATTTCATATTTGACATATTCATTTAACTGATTCTTTTACAATGTCGAAAGACAAATTTCTTAAAACATTAATCACAGTTTGACAATTCAATTATCATCTTCAAAGTAATCGTTAAATTATTTTGTTTATTATTTCAACAATCTTATGTGTACTAAGTTTATTCATAAGTGCGCAATTCACGTGGGCTAAGGAATGAATATATAACCCTAGGAATAATCTATCATTTAATGAATTCATTTCTTTAGACTAGAAACTATTTACGTAGTTTGTTCTGTTTATAACAACTAATATTTGTCAATCATTTATATCTGAATCTAACGACAACAACACAGAAAAACAATAATAAATACGTCAATATTTATTAGTCAAAAAATTAATAATCATACTATTCATTTCATTGGAGTAGTATGAGTAGTATGTTATTCAATTGTGAAAATTATGAATATCAGCATAGGGGTGATGGAGATTATTAAGTTTTTGATTGAGATCATGAATCGACTGATGTTAGATCACCATGGAAAACGTGGAAGCACTGGACGGCCATTTCATCCTGTTGTGGGACTCCTCAGCAGTGCACATACACGATCCAGTGCTTCCAGGTTTTCAATGGTGGTCTAACATCAGTCGATTTATGATCTCAATTAAAGACTTAATAATCTTTACAACCCCTATGCTGATAATTACTATGTGCTCACTAGTGACTAGCTTCGTGAGGGAATTCTCAGATTCTAATGAGAAGCTGTGACCAGTGGAGCTAATCGGTGTCGGATAGGAACAGGTATCTACTTCATTACAGTGAAAGATGGTAGCGCAACTTCGTGGATTGGTTGAGGTTAGACATTAACACCATTGGATTCCGGCTCAGTGGTTTAGCAGGCTGAGCGTTCGCGTGCGCGACTGAAGGCCCTGGGTTCGATTCCCGCGAGGGAGATCGTGGATGCGCACTGCTGAGGAGTCCCACAATAGGACGAAATGGCCGTCCAGTGCTTCCGGGTTTTCAATGGTGGTGTAACATTAATCAGTTCATGATCCCAACCAAAGAATTATGATTACTTTTTTCTCTGATTTACATGATTATGATTAGCAAAATGATAATTATTTTCATATATATATATTATTACATACTTACTTGGTGGTCCCAGGATATACGATCAATGTTTCAAAGACACCTATGATCGAATTCTTATGTAATGAATCATTTCTCAACTATTTCTTTTTGGAGAAGCATTGCATTAAATTATTAGTTTTGACGAATTTGGTTTGGTTAAATTTAGTTTACAAAATTTCGATATACTGTATTTGAATAATAATGAGATAAAATTCACTTCAATCCCACCAGACAGTACAAACCTTGTAGCATGCACAACTAAATTAGGTAAATTACTATTGGAAACAAGGTAGTTCAAGCGAAAGTTTCATGTATACTTCTAGAATAGTTTAACTGTTAATAAGAAATTATTTATTCTGGTTCTTTTTAGACCTTCATTAATGTTTGGGTACTTAAATGTTATCAGATAAATAATTCCTAGTTAAACTATCCTAGTTCGTATGCTCTTAAAAGATAACAGATTTAATCCCATAATTTATACATTCAATTAAGGGATCAGTGATTTTGTCTTATGAAAATCCTTTGGTTGGAATTCGAGAATTCGGTAAGTGATAAAGTTGACAGTTCGATAACATTGTTCATTAAAGAGTATGCTTAAACTACCCATACAGAATAGAGGCTTTTTTAGGAGTTCATGTATGTATCTGAAATAATCGACGGGAAGTTATAAAGTTCTTGGAGGTGGTTCTTTACTTCTGAATAAAATCATTCGAGGAATATTACTCTTGACGAAGCTAAGCTTCAGATACCTTACAACTTTTAGCCAGTTTACATTCATAACTATTTAACGCTATTACATTTGAAATGTAGGTTAGCATGTTTCACTATAATACCTTCCAACAACGGAAACATCCTGATTCGCATACATTTTCCTCTCTAATTCAATGCTTACTAGGTATTTATTAGAGTTTTAGAGGCTCTTCATAGAAAATGACTTACTTAGATATAAACGTTTCATGCTGGTGGTCCAAGAATCAGAACTTTTATTTCAAATAGTGAATCATAATGATGAAAAGTCCCGGTATGGCATGAATCAGTGTCAAGAAATCAATATTGTTCTTATTCTAAATTTCAGATGCTTAAAGATGTGTACAAATGGCTGAATCTTCACTAATCGACTATTCTTCAATGTGTTATACCAAGTGTTATCTTCCGGCATTTCTATTGCCCCAATAAACCTAATATACTAAGGAAAACGATTGTTCAGCAGTAGAGATCTGTATTATTCAACGCTACCTCATTATTACAGTTTACCCAGTTGGTCCATTTCTGATAATCTATCCATAGCATGGACATATCAAATTAAATGTTTGACATAATTAACTAACAAGGAATAATTCCAAAAAGTAAAAATATTCAGAGATCAACTAAAAAATATTACGAGTTTTAAAGGGGCTTGAGATGTTCTACATTAAAATAAACAATATTCAAAACAGTAGTGTTAAATATATTATGATACAGGACATGGTACATTAACCAACTGATTCTAACAGAATAACATGTCAAGGATCATATAGTAAATTATTGTTCATCCCCTTCCTAAACAATTATCTATCTGAAGAGGGTTTTGTGGAGATTTTAGTAATTTAATAGTTGAATTTATGAGTCAATTGAGGTTAGATCACCATTGAAAATCTAGAAGCACCGGACAGCTGTTTCGTCCTAGTGTGGGTTCCTTAACAGCACGCACCCACGATCCCGTCCTACGGGATTCGAACCCAGGACCTATCGGTCTCGCGCGCAGACGCTTAACTTCTAGATCACTGGACCGGCATCCAACGATGTTAATGTCTAACTCCAACCAGTTGACGAATGTGCACCGCCATCCACCATTGTCTTCAATGAGTTACTATCTCGGAACAGATCTGACTGCACTCCACTGGTCACGGCTCCTCACGAGCGCGCGACACCGACATTTCCTGGGTTCAAGTCCAGCGTGCGAGATCATGGATGCACACTGTTGAGGAGTCTCATACTAGGACGAAACGGCCATCCAGTGCTTCCACGTTTTTCATGGTGGTCTAGCTTCAAATGACTCATGAATTCAACTATTAAATATCTATCTGTCAATGACTTTAGCATAGTGTCGTAAGTTAAAATTCTTAACTTAATTCATATACGAATCAGAATGAGAGTTACCATTATCATCATTATTGTCAATGTCACTGAATTGTTTGCAAGGCGAAAACTTAAGCTGTGTCTTATAAATTATTGCTCTGTAACACCTTCAGTCTATTCATAGAAGTTCATTTTCGTTAAGCAGAGTAAAAGAAAAACAATAGCTTGCATTTGTTGTTTAATAGAGCTTTCTAAACACCGTAGGTATTTTGTGGCAATCATTTCAAGATAATTGATAGTTATTAACAAGATATATCTATATTCATGAAGAGACTGATACTTCTTATATGACTTAACTATAAACTATCCAGTTTTTCAATTAGACATTATCGAAAGAGACATTACATCATTTAAACAAGTGAATAAATTAAAGCTTGATCAAGTCAGTCAGTCAGTCAGCTACAATGTAGGACCAGGCACATATATGCGTCAATCCAAGTTTCCATACCTCATTAACACAGCAAGATGAACACCGGATTCATAGAACTAGTTAATTCAATGGTGATAATGTATAAAAGAAAGACTGCATATAAGGATATAGTACAAAAAGAAAGAATTAGTACATAGAAAGATATGAAGTTAAGTTAAACAAATAATCAGCACTCGAAAAAACAACATGACAATAGTTATTATTCCATGATTAATTAATGTAGAACACAAGCATTTTAACTTTCATTTACTGTCATATTACCTTTCTTTGGAAAAAAACCCAAATAAACATTATCAACGTTTACCTAAATGTACTTTGTGTGTGTGTGTGCGTGTGCTCACAATTACAAATGTCTAACAAAGTTTTTCCATTGATTTAATTTCTTAATTTATATGCACACACTTTGTTAGTTACTTAGTTACAATGAATCTGATTGGTTATTTCTCATCATTATAATAAATAACTTAGTATAATTTAACCGAAGCCTTAGTTACTAATTTCTTATACAAATAAATTTTAATTTAATTAAACATTTAATAAACAAGGGATTATAATAACAGACAACAACAAAAAAAATGCAAACAATTCATAAAGTGGATGGATTTACTGAAATCTATTTCATGGTTGATAAAAGAAAAAAAGGTAAGTTCAAGTTATATTGAATAAGTTTTTAAAATTATTTTTTCTTATATATAGGGATAATTGTGCATTGGACTAATTATGTACAAATGTGTATCCTTTATAATAGTTTTTTTTTAAAGAAAAAGGATCAGTAGTAATGATATATTTAAAGTGAAAAGTAGTATGTTTTAGTCACAGTGTGAATATCAAAACCAAAATACAGATATATCTAAATAATTTCACTAGTTGAAATCATGAGTCAATTGAAGCTAGATCACCATGGAAAACCTGGAAGCATTGAACGGCCGTTTCGTTCTAGTATGGGACTCCTCAGCAGTGCGCATCCACGTCCCGCCCCCCTCCACAAGATTCGAACCCAGGACCTGTCAGTCTCGCGCGCGAGCGCTTAACCACTATTGAAATTATTAAAATCTCCACATAAGCCCTTCTGATAATAATCATCTGCTCACTAGTGACTGACTTCAAGAGGTATTTCCTGGAGTTCTAGTGAGAAGCCGTTACCAGTGCAGTTCAACTAGGTCTGTCGTGAGATATCAGCTCACTGAAGACAATGGTGTACGGTGGCGCGATATCGTGGATTGGTTGAAGTTATACATTAACACCGTTAAATTCCAGCCGGCTCAGTGGTCTGATGGTTAAGCGCTCGCTCGCGAGACTGATAAGCGTCGGGTTCGAGTCTTGCGGGTGGGGGGCGGGATCGTGCATGTTCACTGCTGAGGAGTTGCATACTAGGACGAAACGGCCGTTCAATGCTTGCAGGTTAGGGTTTAGCTCGAATTGACTCATGATTTCAACCAGTGAAATTTCTAAAATCTCCACAAAACTGCTTCTGAAAACATCTAAATAAAGTGAAGACTGTATTCTAGGCCCTATTGTTCAGCTAACATAGTAGGTTAAAGTTGAATCAATGACTTACAAAACTGATGACATTTTCTAATTGTTCATGATATATAACTTTATTCTAAGGGAGGATAATTTTGTCACTAACACTGGTTGATTATAGATGATTAATTTCACGATACTATCAATCTATGTTTAGAAAGTAAGTTTTTAATAAATTAGTGTCATGTATTATTTAGTTTAACTGGAAAAAATACCCTGGACGGAATAATACTTAAATTTTCAGTTTTTGTCAATTCGCAATACAAGCGAGGCTTGGTTAAGTGTCTCTTTAAGAGGACTCAAAGAATTTGTAAATTTCACACGGTGGAAAAAGATGAAAAGTTACTGACTGACACATTAACAGTAAATCGTTATCCACTAAAGTTTATTAATAAGTGCAAAATTCAGTTAATACCAAGACCTCCTGTTTATTCAATTCAAAATAAAAAAGTTTATATCCATCTACCATATAGAGGTTAATCCAACAGAGATTGAAAGCAGCCATCGAGAAAACCTATTATGTTTGTCAGTTGGTTGTGACTGAAAAGTCTAAGCCCATGATTTCAATAGACCTAGACAATGCACTGATGATTATGCCACATCCCATTGTATTTACCAATTTCCATGTTTGTGTGAACACACATATATAGGGAGGAGTAATGGAATAATGCAATCAAGGGTCGTTGAACATGTGCGTAGATGGCTTCAAAATCAGTGTTGATAAGAAATAAAATTTAAATTATTTTCGGTATAGTTGTGATCTATTTTAAGTGCTAAGTAAGTCCTCATCTATCGTCATTGTGTTTACACTTGCTTCGTATCATTCACTATTTCTAATAATAAATGCCAGTTTTCTACCGTTACAACAGCTGTCAATACATTTACGGGAGATCAGTAAAAATCTTAATCTGCATCAATTTTGTGTTCTTATTTATGTAGTACAAAGCACAGTGCTTTAAAATAACTCAATAAATTCACTTCAAATATAGTTTCTTAATATTAAACATCCAGGTAAAACATTAGTTCATGTAAACATTGTATAAAAGCGTTCAAAAATAAACTATTTGTTTCCATGTCAGAATACCCTTAAGTCAACAAAATAAATTTCCCTTTCTAGTGATATGAGATACACATATATTCACAAAAAGATTGTTTGGTCATATTACAAGATGAGAATACTTTTACGATACCGATGGCTTGTCGTTCTTTAGTTTTGTTCTCAATATTACTTAATTTTATTCAGTAGCCTGTATCGTACCACACATAATAATTGGTTGCTTTCAATAATTCCCATAATTGATTACGAAATGTACACTGATATTTTAGCCAACACTCATGCAAGAGCTTCAAAACGAAATAGTCTCCTGGTATCGAAAGTTTGACGTATGAATTGTTACTCTTATATCATATTTGACTGATTATCTCGTTGTAGCTGACTGACTGACTGATTATCTACTTATATATCTATTGACAACAGATTTAATATTTTTTTACTCTTTCTGTAACATTTGATTACATAAACATCAAGTTTTATGAAGTTCTCTAGAATGACGAAGATCAGAAAATAACTGGTCTTATTTATTGATTTCCTAATTTTAATTGTCTACTTTCATAATGCACTTTACTGAATGATATTGAATGAGTGCTACAGTTAGCTAGGCTTCAAATAACCGTTAAGAAGAGGGTGAAAAACTCAACAAAGAATGTTGTATAGCTAAAGGTAGAAAAGTGTTTACACAAAATTCAAGATAGTGAGCACTTTGGTTAAAAAAAGCAAGTGTTGTAAGTAGTTTGCATTTTACAGTATATGATAGTTACGTCGGTAGTTGAATACTTAGACTTCCATAATTCACAATTTCGGGATTCATTCGATTGAAGAAAGGCTCCATAAAACAGGTTTTCTGTATCCAATCTGTAAACTAATTTCGACATTTATCTTATGTTAACAACCAGAAATATAGAAAAACTAAATTTTTCTTTTTCATAGGAGATTTACCACTTCTGTTGGTCTTGTGTAGTTAGTTACGAGAGACAAATCTATCATCAAATATGTGGAGAAAAGGCTATTAAGAGCTATATACTGACTAACTTCAGTCGTATAATCGACCTAAATTCAGATTTTGGATTTAATCAATCCTATTTGAATGATAAATAAGATTTGTAGTTCGTATGGATGTTCTAAATTATTTTGTGTTTGTTTTTCAATTGGGTGACTTAGTTATTTAACATAAACTTTGATGACTGTCTAGATTGATAGTGAAAAATTTTAATATTCCATTTGGTGTACCTCTTGGTTCAAATATCTATCTGTTACATTGATCGAAAGTCATAACCATCCATGTCAACAAATTCAATGTTTTTGATCCTTTATGACCTTTTTTGTTTTTATATTTATCTAGATTGCACTTTCCTTTTCATTGTTATTACTCAATTGTTGTTAACATTCGACTTCATTCACTGAGCAAAATATTATCAATATATATACGAAACGGGCGTCCAGTGCTTCCATGTTTTCCATGGTGGTCTAGCTTCAATTAACGCATGATTTCAACCAGTGAAATTTCTACATTCTCTACAAAACTCCTTCTGATATTATCAATACACCTCAATCATTTTCATTATATAATGATTTAGTTAATTATTGATTATTAATTTGTAACACTCCTTTCATTCATCACTTGATTGGTATTGATTTTGTCATCGGTATTACTATTACTATTATCGAACAGATACATATTCATATAGAGCTATAATGAAAAACTAATTACAAAAAATATCTTCACATTCTATTCACATTATTGCCTAAAATTCAAAATCACTTTAGAATAGAATATCATTTATCGTAAACATGTAGGAATAATGTGTAGTTTATAGGTAATGTTGATATTCGATTTCATGAAAAAGTTTCTTTAATTAAATATCATTTTTGACATTTTTATCGGTTAGTTACTAATGTATTGCATTTAACTCACAATAAGATTCATCATTGTGTTCAAATGTGTAGATCATCAACGTGGATGATCTCTGTTGAATGATTGGGGGCCAACGTGATTTAGACGGGGATGGTGTGACTAAAAGCTAACATTGAAGTCACACCTCACCGCCAGCATCTAATAAGAATTACCTCTTCCTCGTATTAAGGTGCAATGGACACTTTGAAGACTGTACAACACAAAGGACGTTATCACAGAAATATATTAATTAAAGTAGGTATAAGTGAAAGTATGATTACCACCGCATGGGTCAGTTCATGGCGTACGATTAACTGTACGCGTTGGTTGTCCTTGACCTTGATAGAGATCAGTGAATTGTTTGACATTCAGTGACCCAATTGTCGGATGACTTAGCTAGGGTTCAATAACATTTCTATGGTCTTACATATGTTTTGTGATTTGAATTTAATGTTCATTCAGTCTATTATATATTGATTTACACACTACACAACGTTTCTTCAATAAAATATGGAACTTCTTTATTTTTACACACGTATCATAATCTAACAGACGGAATCCTAAAACCTGACCAACTTGAGTATTATATATATGAGATATTCTCAATTATTCGACCCGAAATAAACTGAATAACGAAATATCAATTTAGCTACATTTAGAAATATTAGTACAGTTGGTTGTAATCATTTGGGAATTAGTATTCTCCAAATAAATCGAGTACAAATCACTCAATGTAGCAATTAAAAATGCTAAAACAGAATGGCTTGGGCTTCTGTTGATCACTTGTTGGATTCATCACTGAATATTGTAAACAGTGTCATACTTGCCTAGTTCTTGATCCAGATCAAATTCTATCGATATAGTTGTACTTTGGTCACTAGTCTAAATGATTCTATATAGTTTATACTGTTATTTCATGTTTAATGGTCGGAGTCAAGTTAACAAACTTCATGGACAAATATTTCATGATAATGACCATATCCTAACTTGATCTACAGCAATGAATGCTTGACGAAGGTGATATTAGTTCGTAAACAGTAATATATCGATGTAACATGAATGCCATACGATAGAAGACCAATAAGCTTTAGTTATCCCTTCTCACATCCACTTCCTGTTGAACATAAGTATCATAATTATAACAGATTGTTTAAGTATGAAATGAAAAAAAACGTTTGATACGTATTTGGACTTTACTTTTAGGTTGGATTACTATGCCAGAGTTACGAAAGTATATGGAAGAGAATGATGTGGATGAAAAGATGTTTGAGGTAAGCCAAATTTTTCTCTGAAACGCGTGTACAATGGTTTAATAACTTATGGTTCAATAATTTATATTACAGAATAACCTCAGTTAGAGAACCTTTAAAAACCAAGAACATTTTAGCAATTTTTACACAAATATTTGATACAAGAAATACTACTATCTCGTAGTCTGATATTGGCTTATTCTTCTCTTCAAATATCATTATAATCCTTAATTATAATTTAAATCCTTGAAATTGTTTTCGTTCATAGCGTTGGAAAACTCTATTTGATCCTGAATCTACTGGTCGTATAACATTGGAAAAATTCTCTGAAGTATTAGGTTTACAAGAAGAAGTTATGTAAGTTGATATAATTACAGATCAATTCATCAACTATAATAATTTCATACACATAGTTCCCTTTATTATTTTAAAGAGAGCAAGAACAAAGATTGGTGCAGAATAATATGAATTCATTTTATTTCGTTAGGTTCTCATCAGCTGCTTACAACCTAAATTATTTGAAATTCAACGTTATTATAGATATTGACATACTTATACATCAGAGGGTGATGAAGGATGAATATTGTAACATGATATAGCAAAGATTTCGTTAGAGATCATGGAATTAAAACACATTAGATTATTAAGCAATGAAATAACTGGAAATAGATTAATGGTAATAAAGAAAGATATGAATTTAAATTGGTCAGTTATGAATAGTGTAATTATAAAATTCAGAACGAGTTGGAATGACGTAATAAATAAAATGGGGTGGGGGTAATGTTACCAGGGAAAAGAAAGATTTATTACTGTTCCTTTTTGTATACAAGGATCTGGTTTTAAATGTTTGATTGCTATCGCTTCGGCAAATTTCAATAGGTTTGAATTTAAATGTTTGTTGATCACCTTGAAGGACTTCAGTATATCGACTTCGTGTCCTGTGTCAAGGAGATGTCTTGTGATAGCGCTGCTGAACGCCTTTGGTCCGTTTGATCTCAAACACTTCGGATTATGTTCTTTGAATCGGACGTAGGCTCTCCTTTCTGTTCTACCAATGTAACTGCTTTGACAGATACATGTAAATTTTTTATACACAGTTGGTGGTAACATGAAAGGGATACCTGTCGACCTTTGATTGTGTCAAAGAACATGTTGTTTTGGACAAGGCAATCAATTTAGCTGCATGATATGTTTTTGTCATATTATTCTGCACCAACCTTTGTTCTTGCTCTCTTTAATATAATAATTTCACTTATTTAGAAATATTCAAACTGCTATTCAAGGAAATGAAATGCACGATGTAAATGTTATACAATCAGATATGAATACAAAAATGAAATTGACTATTTGTGGACTAATTGATGAAGGGATATTGATTTATCATGATGATTTGGTAAGAGTATCATTTAAGAGTGATTTATATTGTTTTGTATAATTTTTCAAATACATTTTCAATAATTTATTGATAACATTATTGTCATAAGATTGTTGTTCTCATTTTCTGACACTATTCTCTATATTAGTGACAATGTTTTCGTCTGTTTATTTCATAGAAGCTTTAAAAATATATATATATATATATATATATATATATATATATATATATATATATATATATATATATATTTATATATATATCATTGTGAACTGTTCCATCAATAAATATGATGAATGTAACCAATGTTATTTCAGTAGAACACAGATCAATAAATCAATACAATCGTTGAGATTCAAATTCGTAACCTCTTTGAACTATTTTTAAAATAAGAAAATCACTACAAACTATTCACACAGTTATATAATATACCCTTGTGGGCTAGGGTAATTTTACATTGGTTTTCAGGAGAATCAGACACCATCCAGGCTTTCATGTGATACCTCAAACAGTACAGCTCAATCCTATGGCGCAACCACACAAGTACCCAGCACCCTGGTGGGTCAATCACACCACCACAAACTATCTACCTAAGTAGCAATCGATCACTTAATAATGAGGGAATTCGAGATGGTTTACGCACGTTTTATTTACATGGTATAATTTGTGAAATTTAATCTATATTAAAATAGATATTCCTTATTTCATAACATACTGCTCACGCTACTTCGAGAAGAGAATGAATTTAAAAGTATGAACCACTTAATTCCAATTAAGTGGTACAATGTCGTCATGCCTACTTCAAGAATTCGATGTACGGGATTCAATCCTGAGTGAGGTTTTGGGTACACACCATTGTATAATTAACAAACAGGACGAAACCGATTTTTTAAAATAGATCTACAACTGATGTAACCTGAGGATGGAAACTAACTTCGAAGAAATATATGTATATATATTCATTTAGTGTTAACGATACGAATTTGTTTAGTATATAAACTGTGATGTGTCTGCAGTAACTTTCCGTGGATTAGTTGAAATTAGACACTAACACCGTTGGATGCCGTCTCAGTGGTCTAGTGGTTAAGCACTTGCGCGCGAGACTGGTAGGCCCTGTGTTCGAATCTCCCGGGGCAGGGGCGTGAATGCGCAATGCTGAGGAATCTCACAATAGAACGAAACGGCCGTCCAGTGGTTCCAGGTTTTCCATAGTGGTTTAGCTCCCTCCAATTGACTCATGATCTCAACTATTGAAATTACTACAATCTCCACAAAACCCCTTCTGATACTTAATTATGTGATTAGTCGGTTTATCTGTTAACCGATGAATTTAATAACATTAAAGTTTGACTATATTATGTATTACATCCATTGTAAGCAATGGAAGAAAATTTAAATTTTCAACACATTAACATGAAAAACGCGAAAAACCATAGAAACTCATTATCTTTTAATCTTGAATTATATAGTATTAATCTGTCTAGTTTACACAAATCCACTATATTTTTAGTGACTTGCCCAAGTATTCCGGCTGCTTCGTTTCAATTCATTCAAATGTCACAATTTTTTTCTGGTTTTGCAGTTTCTTAAAATCAATAAACTGAATCTGTTGATTACATGAATTAATGATAAGCTTCAACGAAAATCTTACAAACTATCGTCATACTAAATAATGCAAATTATAACGGTAACGCTTTTGTTGTTGGAATAGTTTCTTACTTCTTTAGTTCGTAGCGGAACAAGAAAAAATTACATTTATATTGACGTACATATATCAAACTAGTGATATGCTCTAATATCTCATTTATTGTATACATACATTGCATTATTTAAAAAAACATTGAATACTCAGAATTTGCCGAAACAAATTTGCGGTTGAATATGAATGGCAGATATAGGGTTTTTTAATATACGTTTCTGAGAACTGCTACTATTAAGATAATATAATTTAGAGAAGAATTTGTAACAGTACTTCACGCTTTGAGCCGATAATTCCCTACCGTATTCAAACATATGTTATTACGGTATTTCAAACAAATACAGTAAAACAGTCTTAATTGAATGTTAAATCTTCATTTACATTAATTGAAACATCTTTGGAAATCTTCAAATGTCAGTCTTCTTAGGTAAATCATTGTTTTTTAACGGTGGTTGAGGATTTCAAAAATTAAAATGAAGTAAGTCTGGTTAGCACAGAAAATGAACATACATAGCGATGGAATTACAAGTCAGAAATTTTCGGACACATTGCTTAATGTACCAACATCATAATGATACATAAACAATCCATCTGTATAGCACACATTTCACAGGATTCTTAAAGTGTCTGAGAATTTCTAAGTATAAGACAGCATATACTGTTTGCCCTTCAGATGGAAGCGTATGATGTGCGACACACAGATTACCAGCAATTGGTATATCGAATATCGTACTTGTTGAATAGACTGTATATAAGCTTCAAAAGATTCCAAATCAAAAGTATTGAGGTTAGGAAATATGTTTGAGGTAATAAAATGCAATACCTGACCAAATAATAATCTTGTAATTATAAAATGCATACTGAAAGAAAACGCATTATATTTGTTCATCTATTCCTTGATAAATCAGCTGTTTGAAATCATTTCATTCGTCCACATTATCATGACAAATTAGTGGGTTTCTGCCATAACTAGACTTGAGTGATCATGTTAAATAATTAGAGGACTGAACTGAAACCTTAAGTTTATCAGTAATACGTCGTAAAACGCCAGAGAATTTCCTCGATTCTTGTGCTGGATGACTTAATCTTTTACCGTTCATTTAGCTTGTATTGAGTGGTATTATTCAAGTTTAGAATAATGACTAAAGCTACTCAGTTAAATTACATAACACAGAGTGTAGCACTTCAAACATAAAACAATCCCTTGATCTGTTTCACTTATTTTTTTATTTTGATTTAGAAATTAGTTGAGTTCTTGAAAGATGAATTGGATAAGTATTTTGGAAAGTTATGGAATGTAATCATCATCTATGGTCGATACTGGTCACGTTATTGTCATGAAACAGGTTATAATTTTTGTTTTATCAAAGACGACCGTATATTCCTAGTATACAAGATTCCGGATATATAATAGAAAAATAAGATATTTCAATCACATTCCATTCTTGAAGATATTTTTGTGATAACTCTGAAGCAAAAATGATGAACACAAAGACTTCTCTTGTTTTGATATTTTACGTGTAAATTTTGATTCCGGTTTATTCATAAGTTTGTCGAATTCTTTGACTATATTACAACCAATCAATGATTATATAAAGTTGGACTTATATTTTAGCTAACAAAAAACATGTGGTGAAATGTATAAGTAGTATATTTCATGTTTATACTCACTGTATGTGGTTAAAATGTTCGGTGAAAGATAACGGTTTTGACGGGACCTGCAATGTTAAATAATTACTGTCAGGTGTATGGCCTGTACTTACTAAGCAAAATAAAGATGTAGTTAAATGCAATAAAATGTTATTACAGTCTGTCCGTGTACTTAATACTTAGCATCGTTTGGACATGATTTTCGGTACATATACATCATAACCCTTTCATCTAAAGTACCATAATAACCATAGAGTTATCCTGTAGTATGCATTTTTTTTAAGGCTTTATACTTGAACATGTGAAACATTAACAAAACGGTGTAATATTTATGCATGAAAACATAAAAATACGTTCAGCTTATTATTGACAACCATCGATTATATGCGCACAAAATAAGTTATTCTTGCATTCATCGATAAACATTTGTTCTCTTAGTATATGTGATCATGTTCATTTTGAGGAGTCTCATACTAGAACGAAACGGCCATCCAGTGCCTCCAGGTTTTCAATGGTGATCTACTTTAGATCAACTCATGAATTCAACTATTAAAGTTTTGATTTACACATAATAATGATTATACTCTTTATCAGTGCTTGTGGACTCTGATCATACTTATTACAATATAGTCAATACTAATTAAAATATTCCTTGACCTTAAAGATTAAGTTTCAGTTATTATTTATGTTGCATTATATTACCATAATTTGAAAATTATGTAATAAGATAAGCTCACTATGACAAAAGGTATTTCTTTGGTTAAGGTCAACTAAACTAACACTCAAATTAATTCTTGTCAAGCCCTAGCAAATATGGTTCATATTCACTTGAAAATAATTAGAATAATATGAGTATAGTTCACATAATAGTGATACATTTTTATAGTTTATATCATCGAATGAACACTTAACTGTATAATAAGAGTAAATGTTAACTTGAATAACGAATAAGTATTCATACAGTTGACCTTATTCACATTTAGTTGTCTTATCAACAAAACAAAACAAAAAATGAACATTTTATGTCAAACCTAAATGTTGAGTTTTTTTGCAGGTTATATATTAAAAGTATTCATATATTGGTCGAAGTTCTAGAAATTTACGGTTTCGTGCTGACGAACACCTCTAAGCGTGGCTGAACAAAGGTTTGGTGAAGAAAGTGAACAGCTCGGCCCATTTAGTGCAAACTGGTCATAGTGTCAATATAAACCGATCCTTTTCAATTATTTATCGGGCCAGTAATTTTTTGCCAAAGTTTGTCAGACTTAAATTCCTTCAAACGGCTGAAGCACTAGACATCCGGATGAAGAACCCTAAGCTATGCTTCTCCTCCCCTGACCAACCTCAAGACCAATTAATCAATAGTAATCTTAGCTATTGAATAATCTAATTTGACAGTTGTACCTAAGACCTTTATCATTATTATCATTAGTACTAATGGCTTTATTCAATATTGTATTTTGTTACAATATAGAATTGTCAGCACAGGGTATTTCAACAAGGTTCTTTCATAAAAAGTAAGAAAAGAAAAAGGTGGAAAAAAGATCTGAATCTGTACAACTTTTCAAATTAGAAATATGTTTGAGAATACAGGTTATTGACTAGGTTAACTCTAACAACCTGTTCGTTACAGAGTATGTTTGCTGGGTAAGGTATTATATAACTTTTATACCTTTGCTTGCGTGCATGGATTTTAATGTATTTATGTCTTGTCCTACAAGAGGATATATAAGGAGAAAGATATGAGTGAAGAGGATGGTTAGTATCTGATATGATAATACCTGCCAGGAGTTTGCAAGACTTTAGATGACTATCCACAGCCATATTAATAATGACCTTCAAAGATTCACCACATACCTTGCTAACTGCCTTCAGCACTCTCCGCAATACGGCAGTCTTTTCTCAAATGTAATTGTCCCTATTATCTTTATTCACAAATCTTTGTGTTATTATTATTATTATTATTACTATTGGTTAAACATGATTATTATTCTCCCCAATACATTTACTTCGCATTCATCCCACCTTATTATGTCTTAGTAATAATTTTTTACACAATATAATCTTCCATTAAATATTTGATCGAATTGTAATCGCATTATTATTTCTCTCACCCTATCTGACCCATACTTATTCGGATCATGGATCTTAAATTTTCACTTAACATATAAGCTGATTCAAATTGACATTCTATATGAGTCATATTAACATTAACAATTTTATTCTATTTTGTTTAACAATTCTAAATTCAAAGCAATTAGTCCGTTTGATAAATTTCGATAATGTAATAAGAAGACAAAGATTATCAGAACTTCTGAGTAGACGAGAAGATGGCTTAGTCAAGCGATCCATTTTTAGAAAACCAACGTGGACAGGTCAATACCTTAGTTATTATAGCTATTGCCTTGTGCAATACACATGTGGTTTGATAAGCTGTCTTTTCAACAGACTTGATCGTATTTGTACAAATGACGCCATTGATGATTATGCTAGGTTGCTAAATAAAACATTAATAGAAAATGGTTATCCTCTGAAATTCATAAATAGATGGAAAGTCCATGGTACAGTGAGACCTACTGTGGCCTTGGTAGAAAAAAAAGCCTGTCTACATCACCTTATCATTCAGAGGTGATTCAAATAGCCTTTTATTGAAACAGATTTAAATCAGTCATCAATAAAACGTATTGCGCAGCAAAGGTCATTATCAAAGAAAGAACCAGGTGCATGCCTCATCCAAAACCTAAAAGACATTAAAACGATTGTGTCACATCCCACTGTGTTTACCAATTTAAAGGGAGGAGCAATCGTGATCTAAACATTAGGGTGTGTGAACATGTACCAAAATGGCTGCAGAAACAAATACAATCAAGTGACCCAATAAGAGCAGAGGATTAACACCCATCATCCTCTATTGCTAAACATATAATTGAAACAGGCCATAAGATTGATCTAAACTCAGCTTTTGTGGTGTTGTGTAAAAGTGTAGAAGGGCGCATACTGAGGAAGAAGGTATTCGTAAAATCTCAGCGAAAGAATTTGAAGTAATCCAACGTTTCGCTTGGCAATCTGGTCCAAGCTTTTTCAAGAAAAGGTCGTGGCTGCAATCCGTCGGGGCATAGGCATCGTTTTTCACGCCGATTTCTTCTCACTTTGATGGAACTTTCTAATCTAACAGCACACAAGTGACTGTTAATGGGGATCCAATCGATTAGTGCTTTTGATAGCAATAATGTACTTTACCCTTAACTTAGCCAATTTTCGGATTATTAATTTGGATATATGAATTGTAGAATTTGAAGAGAATTTATCGAAAACAGTATTCTTCGTTCAACATTAGTCTTTTCAATAGTTGAAATCATCAGTCAATTGAAGCTAGATCACCATGGAAAACCTGGAAGCATTGGACGGCCGTTTCGTCCTAGTATGAGACTCCTCAGCAGTGAACATCCACGATCCCGCCCCCCACCCACAAGATTCGAACCTAACACTTATCAGTCTCGCGAGCGAGCGCTTAACCATTAGACCACTGAGCCAGCTATAATTCAACGGTGTTAATGTATAACTTCAACCAATCCACGAAATCGCGCCACCGTACACCATTGTCTTCAGTGAGCTGATATCTCACGACAGACCTGGTTGAACTCCACTGGTAACGGCCTCTCACTAGAACTCCATGAAATGCCTCTTCAAATCAGTCACTAGTGAGCAAATGATTATTATCAGAAGGGGTTTTGTGGAGATTTTACTAATTTCAATAGTGGTTAAGCGCTTGCGCGCGAGACTGACAGGTCCTGGGTTCGAATCTTGTGGGGGGGGGCGGGATCGTGGATGCGCACTGCTGGGGAGTCCCGTACTAGAACGAAACGGCCGTTCAATGCTTCCAGGTTTTCCATGGTGATCTAGCTTCAATTGACTCATGATTTCAACTACTGAAATTACTAAAATCTCCACTAAACCCTTTCTGACATTAGTCTTTTAGTAATGGGAATGAAATCATCATAAAAATGACATGTGATGTGAAAGTCTAAGAAGTACATCACAATTCACTAATAAGTTGATTAAATTACATCAAGATAAACTGTATGATATAAAGTAGATAGTAATGAATTTATGAAATGTAATATTTAATATTTAAAATGTTATGTTGTCATTATGAAATTACTTTGAAGAATTAAGATGATGATTTCGTCCTACTGTGGTGTATGCTACTAATATCAACAAATATAAGTAGTATATATCGTCAATCGAAAGTAAAATGCCTGGAAACAAAAAGTTGAAAAAATTAAAGAGAAGAGAACGAGAACATAGAGTGATTGGTATGGAAATGAAAGAATAGTGAAGTCTGAGACAATTGATTAACATTTTGCAACTGAAGTATCTAATGTATATATCACAGATTTTACTAAGATATACTGTAATGCTGTTTTAAAATACATTTGATTGTCCCCACTAGTGTTCTCGTTTACTACACTACTTACTTACAGAACATTTGCTACTTACACTATGCAAAAAATTTATATGTACGTAAAAGTGAACACTTTATCAACTGAACAATACACTTTCCAAGCACAATAAATGATTTACACTATTACATACACAGATAACTTATAATAATTATTTACTGGTCAACAGTATAGAATAGACAATATAGAACTAAGAACAACTTTAATGTTAAGAAATTTGCAAAATTACACAACTATTTATTTCGCAGGTTGAAATCATGAGTCAATTGAAGCCAGACTACCATGTAAAACCTATAAG